AACTGGACATATCATTAAATCTTCATAGGTATGTTCTTAGTGCCAATCACATTGCTTTTTATATACTGGTGCTGAATATATATTTGGCTAATTTATTTAATTAAATATAAATTATGCTTGCTATATGATTGGATCAGTAATTTTATCCTGAGAGCTTTTTAGCAGGAAAAAAAAAACTAGTTACTCAATAAAGTGTCTTTAAGATTAAAAATAAAAAAATATCATATTCTGATATTAAGACCGAAGAATAATTTCGCCTAAGGCTCCTTATAATCAGGAAACTATGTAATGGACTGAATAATATGTATAACATGCTTTAAAATTTAATGAAATGGCAAAATTTTATAGAGCTATTTCTTTTATTGTTTAAGCACAGATTAAAGCTAACTCTGGCATGAATTTCTCTTATTTCATTAGACATTTCTTCTCATTCTCTGTTTCTGGGTCATTTTTCTTTTCCCAACTTCTAAACCAGTGTTTCTCAGCTCCTGCTCCCCACTGGGATCATCTGGGAGCTTTTAAAAAAATATAGCTCCCTGAACCCGATACAGAACAATTAAATCATAATATTTACAAATTGGACTTGAACATTAGTATTTTTAAAAAAACAGAAGATTCTAATGGTATCAAGGTTGAGGATGAGTGTTCAGAAGATTGGAATGAGCCCAGAGCTTCACGTTTCATTCCAGAGCCCTTCTATGATCAAATCTGGGCTTCATCTTCTTCCTCATTTCCTACCACTCTCACCCTCCATCTCTGACCCGCAGCCACTACTGCCTTTTGCATTTCTAGAATATGTCACACTTGCTCCTGTGTCAGTGTGTTTGCACTTGGTTTTCCTTCTACCTGGATGCTCTTTTTGAAGTTATTTACATAATTTGTTTGCTCACTTCTTTCGAATTTCTGTTCAAATGTCCCTGATCACTTTATTAAAATATCATCCATGTTATTACTCTCTATTCACTTACTCTGCATTCTTTTCTTCTTCGCACTTATTCCTATGTACAGTTTTATTATCTACATATATAAAAGCCTAAGCGACTGGATGACAGGCTGATAGCTATGACATGCACTGACCATTAGGGGGAAGACTCTCAATGCAGCAGCTCCCAGTGCTGCTCAGCTGACAGATGGGCGCCAGACACCGGGCTCACAGCTGGTGAGCGTAGCTGCGGTGGTGCGAGCCTCTCCTGCGGACACTCCCTTTGTGTGCCTGAGTAGTGGCAGCTGCGGCAGGTGCAGCAGGGCCAGGATGAGCAGGAGCGGCACAGCGTCCAGCCCAGACTTTGGCTCCTCCCCAGTCACCTGCTGCTTCACACACTACTTTGTGCTGTGTGGGATCGATGTGGACAGCAGGCTGGAGCCCAATGAGCTAGTAAGGCTGGGCTGTGGCAGTGTAGAGGTCCACTGATTCCTGCAGGCCAGGCCGAGGGATCCCACTTGTACCGGGCCTCTGGTGTGTGTGTGTGTGTGTGTGTGTGTGTGTGTGTGTGTGTGTGTATTTGCTCATTTGTATATTTTCTTTGTTGAATAAATGCATCCACAATTTCAATTCAATAAATTTTGGCCAAAACTGGGGCAGATTTTTAAAATATCTACAGACATTGATGGTCAGGATTCAGTCAGTTGTCCGTAAAACTCTCTCTCCAAGGAACAATAGGTGTTTAAAGGACTGAGCTTGAAACAGTATTTGACTAGTTAAAAGTGAAACAATTGGCCCAAAGTGTTTGGAAGACGACTGGAAGACTGCTAAACAGCAAGTCAAACCAGCCAGGTCTTGACCAGATAAAGACAGTAAAGCCTGCCTCATTTAAAACATGGACAGAAGGCTTAGACCTGAGTGTTCTGCAACAATATCTAAAATTTAAATAGTTTAATCCAGAAAAAGCAGCTGAAGATGAGATAGAAAGCATGCAGTAACTGGAATTCAGAGTCAAGAGAGTGCAGTATTATTTTAAGATTCATTGAGTCCTGTTCTGTTGATGAGTACTGAGTTTTCCTCAATGATTTTTTTCCCTTTAAACCAGGTCATAGTGTGAGTTAACGTGTTGGGAATGACTTAGTTTTTCCTTATCTAGAGAAAGTGACAAAAGAAACCCTACACATGAGATTCCAGCCCTTACTGGGTTCGCCATTTTGCTATATTTGCTGATACAGACACAAGTAGGTATTTGAAGTTTTCTAGGCTATCATGATTTCTATAACTTATGCAAAACTGCAGAAACAAATAAGTTGCTTAAGACTCTGCTTATAAATTTTTACCTGGATCTGTGGAATGCTTAGAAATATTAGGTTCTTGCCAAGGCTCTTATCATCTGAGCAATAGGACGTAAAACTAAGTGAGGGGGAAAAAGTCATCAGAGGGTCAGAGATACACATCATTCTAAGGAGTAGCTGTTGCAACTTGTTAGTACTGGTTACCTATGGAAAAAGCTGAGGAGATAGAATGGATTAGGTGCAGCAAGCCAGAGGATTTGTTGAAGAAAAGTAGTGGGATACCAGGACTGGAAATAGGAATGACAAGAGTTTTCACTATGTCAATTAAGACAGGTTAAATGAGAATATAGTTAGCAGGCGTCAAAAGTTCAGACAAAATAAATCAGTCACTGAAGTAGTAATCAGTAAAAGTTTATTGTTTACACACCAAAAAGATAGTTTGCAAACTAGGAGCCCTCAAACCAAAATATGGATGAGGCTCAGGAGTATATTGTTCTAAGACAGCTTATATTAGTGAGAAAGCAGGGACTGTTTATTCTTCACAGTGATTGGTTATAGGATTAGAATTTTTTTAAATGATAGGGAATTGGTCAATGGTTACCTCATATGAACCTTGGGAAACAGTTCATTTTGTTTATGATTTTCAGAGGCATAAGCAAGAAATGATCCAGGTCAAGTTAACCTTGTTAAATAAGCTAAGTTAAACTTTGCTTATATGACTAAACTGGTTTTGTCTGTTCAGAGAAATTTCAAGGTTAGTCTCCATTTTTATTTATTTTTAATTTTATTTTAACACTGGATAGCTAGCTCTCATGACCAGGAACACGTGTTAAGTTATTTGGTTTCCCATACCCCCACTCCCTCAGTCTATTCCTTGCATCTATGCCTCCAGACCTATTTTGTTTGTGAGTTTATTTTGTTCATTAGGTATCACATATAAATGAGATCATGTGATATTTGTCTTTCTCTGACTGGCTTATTACGTTTAGCATATTAATCTCCAGGTCCCTCCATGCTGTTGCAAAGGGTAAAAGAGCCTTCTTTTTTATTGCTGCATAGTAGTCCATGGTGTAAATGTACCACAGCTTTTTTTATCCACTCATGTACTGGTGGGCATTTGGGCTGTTTCCAGATCTTAGCTATTGTAAAAAATACTGCTATTGGATTTATTTATTTATTTATTTTGCTTTTTTTTTTTATTGGGCCTGCCACTTTAATTTTTTTTAATTTCTATATTGATTAAGTTATTATACATGTGTCCTTATCCCCACATTAACCCCCATACCCCCCACTTATGCCCTCACCCCCTTGTTGTCTGTGTCCATTGGTTAGGCCTATATAGGGCCTGCCACTTTTAAAATGTATCCTTTTATTTACTTAAGAAAACTGCATATAGTAAAATTCACTCTTTTAGGTATACAGTTTCATGAGTTTAGACAAATGCATATAGTCATGTAACTACCAATAGAACCTTGAACAGTTCTGTCACCATTCAAATTCCCTTGGGCTGATCCTTATATGATATGCGTTCAATGCTTTGTCAAATGCTTTTGTAAATTACTTATTGAAGAGTTGGATGTCTTGGATCTGCTATTTGCAGGATACTTCTGCTAGCAGTTGTAAAGGAGGTACTGGGCAGCCTTCAGATTTCTCCTTCACTTCATAGAATTCAACTACTTCCTTCCTGTTGAAATCCTTCCCTGTATAAGTCTTTGTGTTCCTTACTGTTGAACTATACTGGGTCTCAGAAGACTTCTCCAGTCTTTCTTCCTATTTTATCTGCTACAAATATTTGCATTTTGATGTGAACTCTTCACCTTCAGGAAGTATATTTTTGCAGTCATTCTCAGAGATCTGTTGTTGCCGAACATCTTGTTATTCTGTCCATTTCTTTGCTGCCTTTCTCCCTGTGGTATGTCTTCTAGTTTTCCTAAAAATAGAGACTGTGCCATTTTTGTTGTATGTTATGCAAAAAGGGAAGAGAGAGAGTACTGTCTCACACAGCCATGTTCATACCGGGAGTCCTTCCTTTGACCCATCATCACTGCCTTTCTCTCACTCCTCTTCAATGGCTCTCACTTTAAGCACTGAAATCCCGCAGTCTGCTAACCTCTCTTATTCATACATCACTTTGTTAAAGCATGTATGAATACTTTCCCTTATAGCCTAGACTTCTTCATCATTTCTTAAACACATAATTTCAAAGTTGGTTCATTTTTCCTTGCCATTCTTTTGCCTTGGAATTCCTTTTTTTTCCCTTCCCTGATTGGTGTACTACTACTCATGCTTTAAGAACTAACAAAGTATATTACCTCTTTTAGGAGCCCTTTTTTGACACCTCCTCAAGGTGAATGTGGTACCTGCCAAGATGAGGCAGAATTAATCTCTAACCTGTCCTGCTACAAGATGTTGCCCCATTTTTAGTGCACTTGTCTTGCTGTTTTCAGTATTTATAAGTTTTATTATCAAGCCAATGAGTGACTGTGTATTAACTTGTCAATGCAGAACTTTCAAGTGCTAGGTTTCTAGGATCCTACTTATAGCTGTCCTATATGGTCAGCACATACCCTCATTTGGGCTCATTTGATTTTCCGCTGGTCAGTTGAAGGGTACAGTGATATGGGTCATCTATATTTTCGTATCTAGCTTTTGTTTTTAAAGTGATTTAATTATTTCAAAGCATTTTTCACACTTAGGACGTAACTGAAACTCCTCTAGAATTGGAGCACTCATAAATTATGAATAAGTTAAGTAATCATTAATGGAATTCTTCTGCATTCCAGGTGATGCAACAGTGACAATAGCTCACAGATATACCCCCAAAGAACAACTGAAGATCCATACTCAGCTGGCAGATATTATCATAGTCGCTGCAGGTAAGTCTTTAGTGGGTGTTATTTGGTGGAGTATCATCAGCAGAGTAATTCCTGCCCTAATTGCCAGCATGTCCGTAAGAACCACTTCTTCAGAGAATTAAGATATGTATGATTAACTTCCGACAACTGGATTCTGTCTCTTGGCAATCATCATATTGGTCATATTGGTCCACTGTGCCTGTGTTAGCATTTGTCACTTCATTATAGAAAACCTGAATAACCTTTGGAATGAAATATTAAGCACAAGAACAGATGTACACTTTGCCAATTCTTTTGACAACATGATTGCTTCTAAACATGAATGAATTATGGGGAGACTGGTAGGAAATGCTGTTGAAGGGATAGCCATGGCTGGTACATGTCGGAATTTGTAGGCCATGGTAAAAACTTTGATATAAGCTACGATGGCTGAGATCAGGAGATTGACATGGTCTGGCATGCGTTTTTAAAAGATTACTTACACTGAGTCAAGAATTGACTTTAGAGAGACAAGGATGGAAACAGAGAGAACAGTTATTATACTTTCATTTAATGGGTCTAGCTTTTTCTAATTTGTTTTACATTTGAATATACAAAATAATTCTACCCTTTACTTCTGCCTTTACCCTTTACTCTTGCCACATAGTATTTCTACGGTGCAGACACTGTGACTGTTCTTTATCCAAGGCTGGAATGAGAGCCCTTTTAATTTTATCAATTAGATATTATTGATAATTTCTACACTTTACAGTTGAATTGCTGAGTATTTACAAATTATGAAGGGAGAGTAAACGTTTCATAATAAATTGAGTTTAATGGAAAATAATGATAATTTAAATTAGTTTTAACAGAATTTAATTCACTTTCTTGTTCTATAGGCCCTTTATAGGAACTCAAAATATATATGTGATAACTTTAGATGGAGTAATTTGCCTCTTCATAGAGTATAAATAGAAATATTCCCATTTTAGAATCAACAATAATCTTCTAACTACAGTTCCTGTTTTTCTAAAAAATTATATTCAGGGGGTATACCAGATGTAAGAGTTTGAGCTCAATTGACAGAAGTAAGATGGATGTTTAGAGAGGCAATACACTTTGTTAGATCACAGACATTAGGTGAAATACTGCTGCAGCAACTGATAGATTCATGCACGATAAATATTACATTGACTTTTTTTTAGAAACACTTGAAGTCACACACAAGACTCAGAATTTGGTGAGGAGAGAGGAATTTGAGTGGTCGTCATTGCTAATCTCTAATTTTAGACAAAATGAAATGTTCATTATTATTAAAATTTGATTTGATTCTGAGGTTAACAATATATAAAGAATATTTCACAGTTGATCTTAGTTCTCATTTATCAATTATAATATCGATTGCATATTTTCTTTATTGAATGCATATTTGGAGCAAAATCCCTCAGTATGCATTCATACTCATGTTTTTCGTGTTATGAGAAATGACAAATGGGTAATTACCATCCTCTTTCAAGAACCACTGATATTCTGTTGTGACTAAATCAAACTTTATGTCACAAGTCATTATGCCAACACTGTCATCATCCTTGAGTTTCTCATATAGACTCACTGTATTGGCACTGTGATCAAGGAGTTAAAAAATAAGAAAGGAAGGGGAAAATAAAGGGAAAAGGGACCAATTCTACATAAAGTTAACAAAATAGGAGCCTGGAGGTACCCAGGTCTCTAGGTGATGAAGCAGTATTGAGGCTCTATATCTCAGCCATCCTACTCAGGGTATCCTATTACCACCAGAGGGCGCCAGTCCCGTGTGCAGGCTATTTTAGACAGCCAGTTGGCCAAGCACAGTCTTAATCCTGGAAGGAAGACAATTTTGAGTGAAGGCAGTGCAAACAGGTATGTTCCTTGCTTTGTATTCCAGCTCTAGTGCCTCTAACTAGATACAAATGTATGCTGAATTCTGGAATACAGCTCTGTATGTAGCCCTGCAATCATCCTTAGGAAATAAACATCTGTGTAATGGGAAATTTCAGGGAAGAAAATTGAGAATTTGTAAGAAATAACTAAAGATTACTACATTTTTACTTCCTTAATAATCACCTGGAGAATTTGAGGATAAAATACGTAGAGATTGGTAAATTATAGTGGAATTGTAGGGAAGGCATAAAAAAACAACAACCCACTAATAATGAATAACCACATCATGCATTCTGTGTGGGAAATAAACACATGCGATTAGCAGTGGGTATTACAAAAGGATATAATGACCTCATGGCAGAGGTATTGATTATTGTCATAACTAGAATGTCAGCATATATGGAAGCAGTACCATCTCAAAGTTAGGAGGAGTAGAGGAGGAGTAGTGGGTGATGTATCAGGCACATTGATAAGGTCTGAAATGACAATAAAGAATGTGGTGAAGAAACCTTGGAATGGGTTTACAGAAGAAAAGTATAAGAGGAAATGGCATGTGATGATTCTGGTGCATGACTAAAATTAGCTTATGTTCATATTAATCTCACTTCTCCAGTTTCTCAAACTTTCATAGGTTTAACTATATAGGACTTACCTTTAAAGCATCTCACCAAAATTTGAAAAGTAGACTAATATAGAAGTTCAAATTTGAAAACCAAATCCTGTCAAACTATGCTGTTAGAAATAAAAGGCTCTAGGCTCCTACTCAAAGCTATACCCCTCTGCATTTTTCCCAGAGAGAAATAATCTGTTTCTAGGAACTTTGCTGTACCATGGTTATAACACATAAC